TTTGAGCCGATTAAAGTGCTAAATAAAATAATTGGAAATTATCATCTCGAATAATCCTTCACTTCCTTCCACACCCTTAGCTGGGTCACAGGGTAGACGGGAAATAGGTTTGTTACAATTTTATTTACCTATGTAGAACCAAAAAGGGAAAAGCAGAGTACATGCAATTTTCTCTCTACAAATAATTAAATTTCTCCAGACATTGAATAATTTACAAAATAGCAGCAAATTTATCTTTAGGGTTATGTTTCAGATTTTTTTCAGTAATTCCGTAAATGTCCATTATTATGAAGATGTTTATCAAATAAGGTCCATTGCAAAATTATCAACTTCCATCCACTCAAAAATCGACTAATTTGTTGAGAGCGCAGTGTGCCACTGAGAATTGTACCGCGTGCTACATTTGGCACGCTTGCCATAGGTTGCCGACCCCTGCTCCAGAGTATTTGTATCATATTCGTATTACAAACTTGCACAAAGTCATTAAGCAGTTCTTATTTAAAAACAATTCATATTCTATCTAACATGAGAGAAAAAGGAATTCATCTGGTTAATCCCAAAAGAACATGATTCATGCATTTGAACATTTCACAGAATTTTTTAAAGGCAGAGCAGGCAAAAAAACGATTTTTTTCTTTTCTTTAAGTAATTTAAAATATTTATTAATAGCTGATATATATATATACCCGTTCTTCACAGGGGTGAATTGAAAAACTAAACAACACAGATTGAATGATAAAGAAGTTTTTAATGAGTTTAATTTTACGTGAAATGCAAATGTAAAAAAAAAAAAAAAATTTTTAAAAGCTTTTTGCATGTCTTAGCTAAACAAAAAAAAAAAAAAAAAAAAAAAAAAAAAAAAAAAACCATCTTCGTTAAATTTTAAGTTTGTAGATCTAATAGCTGATAAATAGGGTTTTTTTTTTAATTTATAATGCCCTGTAACTCTCTTGTGGGTCGATTTGTTGAAACACCTTCCTAAGCTGATCTCTGCTCAGCAAAAGTAACACATTGTTACAAGTGTTGTGTAATGAACGCTTAAAATAGTGCAAATTATTTATATCTGGATGTGCAATACGTTAATATTACTTTCTGTTGTATTTATTTTATGTTAAAATTGTAATATTCGCAAGCAACGCCGTTTCTTACATTATAATGGCAATTCAATGGAAACATAACGAAATGTTGGCGATAGAGCCAAGTTGGCCATTTTTGTCGACCATGTTGGCAACTTGGCGATGGATTGAACGGTGCAGAAGTTGATATACCATAGCGCCACCTGGTAGAGAACTACAACAAAAAGGATTGCACAAAAACCTTTTCCAAAAAAGAATACATATATTTGATAATTAGAGAAAGAATTCATAGTGATCGGTTGATAATAAAATCATAAAAAAAAACGTGCATTGAAGCAAATTATCAATTTTTATTGTATTTATGGTTCACTATTTTGGCGATAATGGCTTACACATAAAAGATAGACATATGCTCTCGTGGGCTTTTTTGTATACGTGATTATATACGTACTAGCTGTTACCCGCCCGCTTCGCTGGGTATTTCATGATGTTTTATAAATTTTTACTGCTTATATATATGTATAAATTATTGATATCTAAGTCCTAGCATTAAGAATTCGATTGTATTGAAAAATATACTTATACCTTTAACTGTCGCAAAAAAAAAAAAGGGCAGAACTCATCTAATTTGTATTTTCTAAAAATCTCTAAAATTGAAATATAGAATGATGTTTGCTCTTTCGTAACCCATAAACCAAGCGGATTCCAGCAAAACCAATTTTCGGTGGATCTCTACTCCGTAAATTGAACATGCAAGCCAAATTTCAAGTCTGAATCTAACAGAAGAAAACAAAAGTTTTACTATCAATATCCCCGTAATCCCGTTGAGAGCCGTTTTCCAAAATTACCGCTCTAAGCGGATTTCAATTCAACAAAAGAAAAATGCAAACCAAATTTCATTATTATAGTCCTTGTAGCTCGAAAAAAGTAATTTTTTTTGTCAATACGTCTCAGTAACCCCCTGGAACCCCCCCCCCCCCAGAACTTGATTTGCTTAAAATTTATTCTTAGTGGATCCCTATTCAACAAAAGAAACATGCTTAAAAAATTTCAAGTATATGGGTCTAACAATTAAAAACAGGAATTTGTTTCTGTAACTCCTCTTGACCCCTCGCAAACATCTTTGGGGGTCAATTTTCATTTTACTCTTTGTTAGAGGAACTCTATTCCATGAAAGGAACATGCATACCAATTTTCAAGCAGGATGATCAAATAGTTTAAAAATGGAAATATTTAACGATTACGCCTCTTAATCTCCCGAAATTAAACTTAGTAGTTGATATTCGCAAAACCCATTTTGTAGCGGTTCTCTACTTTACGAACGGAATCTGCTTATCAAATTTCAAGACTGTACGTCTAATAGTTTAAAAATGGGGATAATTATCTCTAACGCCACTTGAGCCCCCGCAACGCCACTTCGGTGTCTGTTTTCACAAAACCCATTTTGTAGGAGAATTGCACTCTATGAAAGGAATCTGCTTAGCAAAATTTGAAGACTGTGCGTCTAAAAAATTAAAAATGCAAAATTTTTTTTTTATCTATAACGCCCTATGAACCCCCGCAACGCCACCTAGGGGTCGATTTTCACAAAACACATTTTTTATTGTATCTCTATCCTATGAGAGGAATCTGCTTACCAAATTTCAAGACTGTGCGTCTAATAGTTTAAAAATAGAAATAATTATTTATATCTGCCCTTAACCCCCTACAACACCCCTTGTGGGTCAATTTTCCCCAAACCCGTTTTGTAGCGAATATTTACTCTATGAAAAAAACATTCCTACCAATTTTCAAGCAGGTAGGTCAAGTAGTTTAAAAACGAAAATATTTATCTATTACGCCACTTCATCTCCCGCAACGCCACTTAGAGGTTTGTTTTCCCAAAGCCTTCTTATAGTTGATATCTACTCTATGAAAGAAATCTATTTATAAAATATAAAGGCTGCGCGTCTAATAGTTTAAAAATGGAAATAATTATCTATAACACCCTTTAAGTCTCGCAACGCCACTTGGGGGCAATTTTCACGAAACCCATTTTGTAGCTTATCTCTAACCTATGAGAGGAATCTGCTTACTAAGTTTCAAGACTGTACGTCTAATAACTTAAAAATCGGAATTTATAACGCCCCTTAAACTCCCCCCCCCCGCAACAACCCTTGGGGGTCAATTTTCCCAAAACCCATTTTGTAGCGGATATTTACTCTATGAAAGAAACTTACCTACCTGTTTTCAAGCAGGTAGGTGAAGTAGTTTAAAAACAGATATATTTATCTATTACGCCCCTTAATCCCCCGCAACGCCACTTAGAAGTCTGTTTTCACAAAACCGGTTTTGTAACTAATCATTATTCTACGAAAGGAATCTATTTATCAAATTTAAAGACAGTGCGTTAAATAGTTTAAAAATGGAAATAATTATCTATAACGCCCACTAAGCCCCTGCAACGCCACTTGCGGGTCGATTTTCACCAAACTTATTTTGTAGTGGATCTTTACTGTATGAAAGGAATTTGCTTACCCAATTTTAAAATTGTACATTGAGTAGTTTAAACATGGAAAAAATTATTTATAACGCCCCTTGCGTTTCGAATTTCGGAAAATCCGTTCTTAGCTGATCTCTACTCTATGAAAGGAACATCCTTATCAAATTTCAAGCCTGTAGGTTGAATAGTTCTGGAGATATCGTGATTAGTCAGTCAGTCAGTGAGTCGCTTTTCTCCTTTATATATATAGATAACTCTAACGGTTTTTACAGCACACGCCAGAATAGCTTGCAGATGGCAGAATTTTTTCCTACTTACTTGACATTTATCGTTATATTTTGAACACTTCACACAATATCTTTATAAATTATAGCCTATGTGTTATTCTGATGTATAAGCTATATTATTGTAAAGTTTCATTAAAATCCATTCAGTTGTTTTTGCGTGAAAGAGTAACAAACATCCATACATCCTAACTTTCGCGTTTATAATATTAGTAAGGATTCTTTTATCTCTCTCAATAAGGAAATTGAAATACAAAAACATTTGAAAGAGAATAGTGACTAACTTTAAAACATTGTTGGCTTTATTTATCATAAACCTTATATTTTAGAGATATATGCGTAACACTTTCTAATATATCTTACCCTCTCTAAATTAAGATTGGAAAGTGACATTCTTGACTTGTTTAATAAGATTCATAAAAATTAAATTGTGTGCATAACATTAATAATTTTTTACTTTAATTAAATTTTACCTCGTGGTATCTTTTTCGCTCTACCTTATGCATAATCAATTTCTTCAAACCGGTTATCCGAAAATATGGCTACAACCTTGAAAGTTCACTACTAAAATGGCTCTATTTAAGGAAAACATAATGAAGTGTTTCTAAATTTGAATTTCAAGGTCTCAATTTTATTCTTAGTTTTTGTACATTATGTTCTTAAAATTTAAATGGACTAACTTTTTTTAGGAAGTTTTTTTTTATCGAATAAGAATTTTTTTTAAGGACTTAATTCTTACGCGCTTAACTCCTATATCTGATACCAGTAAAAAAGTTTAATAACTCACTTGCCGCACTTTACACAAAAGTGAAGCAAATTAATATTTAAAAAAAGTTATTTCAAATGGAAAAAGATTTGCTTTTTCATCAAAATAGTTAATGTGTTGTTTATATAAACAGTTTCGTTCAGATTTCGAAGTTCTTTTTTCAATTCTTGTTTTAATTTTATATTTTGTTCAAATTTTCAATCATTAATAAAATATTTTTTATTCATCCACTCAAGTTCAAATACCTTTTTGAACTTGTAGTGGATGACACTTGATGTTAATACAGTTTTTTCAGATATTAATTCATTAATTCTATTTAATTAATGAATAAATAGTAACAAACAAAAATAATAGCCCAACACCTTTATATAAAAAGGAAAAACGCTTATTGTGTCCCTGTAGTGCAATGAATAGCACATTGAACTTCAAATAAAAAAGGTCGTGGATTCGAATCACACCTGGGACGACCTAATTTCTGAGAATGTGATTTCTTTTTCTATACTATTTTATTGGAATAATTAAATTTAATTAAGGAATAAATAGTAACAAACAAAAATAATTGTCCAACCCCACATATAGAGAGGAAAAATAGAAACTTGCAAAGAGAAAATCGCTTTCTATTTTGCCACTTAATAATTGTGATTCTGTCATACGTATATACATATATTTATATATATTACTTATAATTATTTAAAAAAAAGTAACTAAAATAAAAATTTCTTTGATGACTTAAGTAGGAAGAGATTAAAAAAACAAAAAAATTCTATTACTTGTTTCTTTAAAAAAAAAAAAAATGGAAGCATTTTTTATCAGCTTAAGGAATTTAGAGAAAAATTGAGATTGAAAATATCTGTATTATTCATACGTTAGCTTTTGTAGTTTACAGAGTCATTTTGTTGATGGCTTTTTTTTAAAGCAATTCGGCTTGTTAAGTAGTTTTTTAAATCAGCTTTTTATGTCTTAATATAAAATTATGTTAATACTCCAACCCTTTTATCACAAATTGCTCTAAAGACTGCACCTTTAAAAAAAATGGAATTTTTCGGATCTAGTGGATATTCACAGGAATGCTACATGGAAAGTATTAATAAAAATAATTTTTTTAACTAGAACAAAAATCTATCTTATTTTTGCTGAATTACTTCTAATAAATGCTCAGAATTTATTTATTTTGGTAAAATATATTTATTGTCTTCTCTATAGCAAAATAAAAATAAAACCTACTTTATAAATAAAAAAGTGGAACCTAACGTAATAAAAGTGTGACAAAGTAGAATACATGACACAAATGAAAAAGTATATTAATTAGCTTTTTTTTCAAGGTAATTGAGCCCTTCGGTATCATTGTAATTCAATAAAAAGCATCCATAATTAATAGAAAAATCCATTTAATTTACAATATTAAAAATTTACCTGAGAATGTGTGTATGCTTCGTAAAATGAATGACCGGAGACAAAATAAATTCAAACGGAATCAAATTATTCCGTTTTGTTATTAGTATTTTTGAAAAACTCAAGTGTACAACACTGTTGTTGTTGTGTCCTTCCCGCAGGGAAGGAATGCAAGTTGCCATTGCCTGTGAGACTTCTTAACAGATGGCAACACCACCTATCTCCACCACCACAATTTTGGCATGGAACTGAAGGGGAGAGAAATATTCTCCAGCCCCCTGCACTCGTGGTTTCTGCTGCGACCGCCCACAAGACTTTCGGACCCACTGATTTAACGAGCACGTACTCCGTCTATACTCGGTGGTATTTAGTGGCATCGGGCATCGAGCCCAGGCCCTCGGGGTCTGGAGTCGGATGCTCTAACCACTAGGCTACCCACGGGCCAGTGTTCAACACTAAAATATTAAAAGAAAAAAAAATTTGGAAAAAAATATATTTCATATATTTATGAAACCCTAAATTTATCAAAAATGATGTTTCTTTCTATACACAAAAAAAATGAGAATTTGCAGAATTTTTAAAAACCAAATTCTGTTACAATTAAAAAAAAAGGAAAGCAATAAACTTTTAAATTAATTTTTAAATAATTCACAAGAGAAGAATTTTAAGACGAAAATTTTATGCAATTTGAAAAAAAATCTCGTTTTGTTATTGATTCTAAAATTATTATTCGTAATATGGAAGTAATTAGTTCTCAATTCAATAGGTATCGTTATTAATTTTACCTAATACTGTGCTTGAAATAGTAAACTAATATGATATGAAGGATATCCCATGCAAAAGAGCAATTTTTGCGCCATCTGTTATCGTACTTTACAAAAAGAAACAAAAAGTGAAAAATTGTAAAATGTGAATGCATTGTAAATTCTAAAAAAAATTACTAGATAAAATTTTGAAAAGAGGCTTTCTAGAAATTAAAAAAATTATCAATCAAAATGTATATTTAAAGAGAAAAAGAAAAAAATCTTCATTTTTTAAACAGTATGTATTTTATTCATATAAAAGCCTTTTATTTTAAACGTTGACATTACAGTTGCAGATATTTTTGGATGGAGGTATATTAATTTACTTAAAACTAATATATTTAACTTTTAATACATAATTTTTTCTTATGTAAGTTTTTAAACTTTTGTTGCACATCTTAGTTCAGACTATTTAACATAGATGGCGACACGAAGCAATTGTAGAACACGGTTTCTTTCCTGCTTTCTTTTCGAATCAGTGCTAACATTCTGAGCCTTTTTTAATGTCGGCAATTTGATTCATACTTTTATTAAATCCCATCTCATCACTGCATTCTGCATCAGCAAAGTGATCTAATCAATAGTTAAAAACCTTAAAGCAATTCGAATTTGAATATATCTTGTTTTTCACTTACTGATGGAAAATAGTCTTCAATTTCCTCTTTCAATTTTAATTTTTTCTACAAAATTAAAAAGTTTAGCTTAAAGAAATAGTGAGCATACTCGTATCATACATTTTTACTTAACCAAAAACCATTGGAATTGGCTCAGTTACCAATAAAATAAATTTGGTTTGAAAAATGTCTTCTACATTTCAAGTAGCTCAGTACATTTATTACTGGGGGGAAGAAAGGGTCTCTATAAATTCCTTAGATATCCTACTTTTTTCCCCAATTAGTGCAAGAAAAAATTAAGCCTCTTAAAAATCACAATGAAGCAAGGCCGTTCAAATATAGAAAAAATAAAAATCCCTATACAGAAATAAAAATGTTGCCAAATAAAACTTATTTGTATAAGAATAAGGAAGAATCAGTGTTTCACTTGCATGACATAATTCAGTTTCTTTTTTAAAGGATTACTAAAGATTTGTGTGTGACACCACTAATAGATATGATATTAACTACAGTAATGCACACAAAAAGTACATGGTCAATTTATTCAAATAAAGATATCTGGCTTTAAAGACTACTTTACTTTTTACCAAATAAAAAGTCTTAACCAAAGTTTTTAACAATATTCTAAAATGAAAGAAATTATTTTTTCTCACACATTTTTTTAATTCTAATTCTTAAGAGTAAGCCAAACTAAGAAATCACCCAAAATACACACATTTTATAAAACCTCAAAAATTATCATTTTTTTTTTCATTTATCAACTGAAAAATTTATCAATTATCTTTAGAAAATTTTTATTAAGTATATTGACATATTGTTCATAGACTTTTCGTGACATATATTTGAATGTAATGCAATAATAAATAAAAGACACAGCTAAAAATATAACGAACTATTATTTATTAATACTTAAAAATACACCAATGTCCTGCATTGGGATAAACATTTGATATACTTATATACAAAATAAAGATAATTTCAGTTTTAAAAAGGAACTTTAGTACTTTATATAAATAACATTCACAACAAAGCAAGTAATAATTATAACTCTCCTTTCGTAGAATAACAAATTAATGTGACACATGAAGACTATTTTGAACAATTAGTTTGCTACTTATCCACATTATAAATGCTTCCATGATAGCACAAATTGGTAATATCACAGCACAGCAATTAATAAAGTTCAAAAATTTAATTTGTTCGTTTCAGATACAAATGCAGTATCTAAAAAAATACTCTTACTTGCCATCAGTCTTTGATTGTTCGACATTCACAGTGATCTTCCTTTCTTGTTTGGGTGGTTCTTCTATTGCCTTTTTAGGTGCAGTAATGGTTAGGACTCCTTCTTGATCAAGACTAGAGGTAACGGTATCTGCTTCACATCCTTGAGGTAGCATGTAGCGCCGAGTGAATTCACGAGAACAGAAACCTCCATCATCTTTCTTTTCTTCGTGTTTGCCATGGATGACTATGAAATTGTCCACAACCTTCACTTCAACTTCTTGTGGCTTGAATTGCTTAACATTCAGAGACACCTGGAACTGCTTTTCGTCATTATTCACTTCGGACTGTCCGGAGTTGGCAATACTGGTCTGGGTTCTGGGATGGAGGACGAATCCATGATATAGGACTGGATTTAGAAGATCATCATCGTGTAGCTGCGTGGCGAAGAACTGGTCCATTATTCGTTCTGGGTAATCCCAGGTGCTCCACCAGTCTCGTCCAAGAAGCGTTGGAACGAATGCTCGCAGTGCCATTTTGAATAAATCAGTCACAAATTCGTATAGGTATCAACAGCAAAGTTGTGAAAATCGCACAATAGAATAAAAAAAAATATAACGCTTGTAAGAGTTAGTCGCTCAAATCGCTTAAATACAATCGCAAGTTATATTCAATTCTACCGCTCAGCTGACTGAATGCCGTATTTATACACTTGGCTAACTTTCGAGCACTTTCGAGAGAGGAGGAGAATCGTTTGTTTCTTTGAATAGTTGTTGTTAGGTTGCTATTTTGAGCCGTTTATCGCTCCATCATTGGTTGGCAACAATGGAGCCTGCATATTTTTAATACTGATTTTATGCATAAGTTTCTGCAAATGTGTTTTTTAAATCTTTTTAAGATATAATTATTATTTTTACTGCTTATGGAAGCACGTGCAGTAGTAATATTTAAAATTCATTGAAAACCATTCTGAAACGGATGGGAAAATTGGCGATAGCTATTGTTCTTTTGGCGCCTTTGCTAAGAATTTTCTGGACATCAACATACACACGTGTAAGTCATTAGATAGACACGAGGAGCTGAAATAATCTAAACAGGATTGGAGTGTGGAAATTTCTAGGTTGAATTAAATGCTTTTTCCTTTTTTTTTTTCTTTCCTGTTTCACAACAGAAAATTTGATTTTCTTTAATGATCTATTTTTTTAGTGAAACAGATTTGAAAAATTAATTTAGAAAGTGTGAATTGGTTAATTAGCAATAAAATCAATATGAAAATGATTCCTTTTGACAAAACATGTCGTTTTTAAATTTGGTGAAGGTAAATAAAAAATTTTTACTGAAAAGCAAATAGAAAAGGTGATATTTTTCTGTATGTAATTTTTCTATAACATTTATAAGAGATGTTATTAAAATAACTTCTATCATTATTATTACTA